TAAGATGGAGAGAATAAGCTAGTACCTGCAATTTATAAAACCATTTTGATTTCTACTATGTTATCCATGTTTCAATTAAATCTTAAAAATTCTTGAACTATTTTTAAATATATTATTTAATGATAAAGGAATTCAATTACAATATAAGTTGTAAGATGATATTGAATTTCAGTTATAATTCTTTATCATTGCAAACCATTTTTAAAATATGGTTATTAATTATGATTTCAGTTAAAAGATGGAAATTGCCAACTTAATCATGTCTAACCTATCACTAATTTTTTGATTCTTCCTATGAATACAGAAGCAACATTGTCATTATTAGTTTTTTTTACAAATGTTATTACTTAGAATTATCTTCTTTACTCAATTATCTAGTTACCTTTTCCTTTCTTTTTTTCAACCTCTCATAGTTTACTTTGCTTATGCTTTAGTTGCAATGACAAACTATATGATGCTTCTCTCTAATTTCCTTTAGAAATACATGAAGTTTTTAAGCATATATTTCGAGATTACAAAGAGTTACACTTAGTTATAGATCTACCCTTTGAAGTTTTTGTAACTTTTGTATACTTATATATTATCTCAAATTTAATAAGTCAATGTCATTTGTTTACGATTTAAATTTCAAAATATTCAATCATCCTATTCTTTTCTACTATATAAAACCCGAAATCATCTCCTATAAAGTTACTCTTTCCATGGATTTGGGTTGTAGGCTCTCTAACCTATTAATATGTTGTTTTTTTTTATTTCATTTTTCTTATGGTATCGCAATACCTTTCAAAGTTCCTTATGATCTTCCGTTAAGCATTCTTTCAGTTCAGCTTTATTCTGGCAAAATCATTTTTTAATTTTTCACCTAATAAAATAATTCAAAAGATTTCAAAAATTTTAAAGGCTTTAGATATATTACTTATAAGAAAAAACAAATATCTCATATCATTTATTCACATTATTCTCAATTTATAAACATATTGAAATTGCATATCAATTTGATACAAATATTATCTTTTGATTTTTCACTATTTCCTATTTTATGGAGAGCAAAATTTATATAAATTATTTCTTAGAATTGAATGTAAATTCTATTTTTAAATTAAGTTTTCGTCCTTGTTTGTCTTAATATTTACCCTTATCTTTCTTGCCATTATTATAAAGGAGAAATTATTGATTTTGAAAAGTCCAGTTAATTGGTCTTTAACCTAGGATTGAAAGAGCCCAGCTTGTAATTTTCTAAAGTTAACATACGTTAACAATCAGATTTTGATGTTAAGTACTTTCTTTCACTCAATTTCCATCTTATATTTCTATTAAATTTCCTTTTCTCTTTTGAATCGCCTATCCCAAAGAACAAACCTTTCAATCATTTTCAAACCTATCTTGGGAGGTAAAGTTTTACGGAACAGGGTTTATTTATTTTATTTTGATTTTTAATAGAATCGATCATCGATAGATTTGTACCCTAATGAATTCTATTCACTAATTTTCTTCATAAATTCGATATAGATTATGCGAATAATCTTTACAATTTAATTTATTATTAGAAATTAAGAATCAATGAATTTTATCAGTTTTTGGCCTCATAACATAAATTAATATGTTAAAAAATCCTTGATAAAGGGTGATAATAATAAAAATGGCCAATATAAGTTAATTCGAGGTATATTTATCTTAGCTCCTCGAGAGATAAGAAAACATCGTTGTTGCTTGCGCATCAAAAATAGAACTTTAATCTTTTTTTTTATTCTTTTTCTAATTTTTGTATTGTGCTAATTTTTGTAAATCTTATTAAAATGCTATTATAAACTTTTTAAGAAATATAATGTATTTATTCATCCTATTCTTATTTATTCAACATAATTATTTTCTTTAAGGAGATAATTGAAATGCTTCATTCATACTTATTCACTTCATATTGTGACTAATATTCAAAATCACAAATTTTTGGATCCTTAATTCCACTATTTTTCTATTAACTAATAATTCTATAAATATAAAAACCTATAATATTTTCTTCATCATATACTCTTAAACTCAGCTTCTCTAAAAGCACAATAGGGTCTTTAGTTTCATAAATTGTATTCAAAAATAATTCTTCTATTTTTGTTTTCAACAACTCCGAAATACTTTATAGATCTCTCTGGTGTTTATAATTTAACGAGAAACTCAGAATTAACATTAGTTTTTTCAGTGCTTATTAATAAAAAATCTTCATATTTTTTGGCCAAGTAACATAATGCCCTAAAAAGCAATTTAAACTTCTTTAATGTTTAAAACATAGAATAAAATATTTCTTATATATAAATATATCCTGCTAAAACCTTATACTTTTAACCTTAATATAATCTCAAACAGTCAGATTCTTTATTAATTAATAATATAGTTACTTTCTATAATCATTACTGAAGGGAGATTTTGCTTTTAATATTCATAAAGATTCAATTTACAGTGTCTATCCTCCTTGAGAAGCATTTGTTTCACCCATACAAAATACTGAAAGTGATAACATTTAAGAAGTGAGTAGCCAAAACAATTTTTTTACTATTTTATGAGTCATATCAAATCTATACCTCTTATTAAAAGCTTTTGCTTGTAAATATTTCCATCTCGAATCTTATCACATCAACCTTTATAGTTAAATATATCCAAGAATATATTAAGAATGCATCATCAATTCTCGTCTGCTCTACCGTTATTGAACTGATCAATTATTTCCTTTCTTGTTTTACTATCATCTAATCCATTCACTCTTCTCTCAATTAAACTCTTGTCTAAAAATACCAATTCTCTGTATCAGAAATTTGTACAATTAATTTCTGACCGACAATTCCTTACATATGAGGAAGTGTTTTACATTTCTATATGATATGTATAAATTTATGGACTTAGACCTCAGGAAAAACTGCTTTCAGGTAAGGTCCATTACTCAATAGATCCTATCGCTCAAGGATATCACATTTTTCTATCATTAGTGTATCTCCGAACCCCAGCATTCTAAATCTAGAAATTAACACTATGTAAGCGATAGAACAACTTCGATTATTCATTATCTTTGCGAATCCTAAACTAATCCTTCTATACATTAGAAACATTCTTCTAATTTTTCTCTTTTTCAAAATTGAATGATAATATAGTTTTCCAAACTATAGATACTTATGAATCGTCCATATGAGCCTACTTCTCTATTCTATAGCAGAACATCTGCTTTAGAAAGCCTTTTGTGATACTTTTCATTATTAAGGTAATAATCTGATTACTTCTGCTTTTGGATTAATACTAAGTCAGGCTTAAATGTTCTTGAATTAGTCCATTCATCCTTAATTCTCCTATCAATAAATTAGAGCACTATTAAAATTATAAATTTTATAACAAAACTTTGAACAATTCCTTAGGATTTTATTTTTGTAATCTTCTATATCTTTGAATTTATCAACCTGATTTCACATTATTGTGAAATGAATTTATCTTTCTATTTCTCATTTAGAAAATGGCTTTTTTAGTTGTTAATTATTATGCTATTAAATTCTATTCAATATTAATATTAATGGTATTGTTTCTAAAGATGTTCTAATCTAATTTATCTCTCTTTATAGCAATAACAAATCTATACGTCTTAATTTTATTTTTTTTGTCCAATCTTTAATTATTGTTATTTTAGAGAAGGTTATTAATTTGATAATATTATCAAATAGCAGCATTTTGATTAATTAATTATATTTCAACCTAGTATTAACTCATCTTTGAGGAAAGTTTAATAACTCTCACATTTCAATACAGAATTGGAAATGGTCAGCATGTAAAAATAGAATATTAATCAAGAAGAAGTTGTTTTATAAAGCTTAGCGCAGTAACGAGCCAGTGGATGTAGAATATTTCGATTTTTAAATTGATATTTGTTATGGATATTGAATCATATCCTTTGGAGGTCCATACTCGAAGGACAGAGCGTTTAAATATCTCGTTCCATTTGGCGATGCAACAGCACAGTGGGCATCTCATAATTTCGTGAATAGATATTCTCACTAACCCTTTCTATCATAAAAATTTATTAAAGTAGATAATCATTCTCTTCCATACTATTGTTTCATCATCCCTTATCTTATGGTAATAGCTTATCCATCCTTTTCCCCTTCTATTCTCATAACAACAATGTAAAGAGTGCTGTGTTCTCTTAAGAAAATTGGATATCAGAGGGCAGATATAGGAAGTTTATTTTTGAAGGCAGACCCAGATCATTATTTGGTATTTCTTTAAGTCCATATTTACCAAGCATACTGTGTTTTATCTCCATGAACATAGAAGCCCTGTCCATATTTTATATTCCTCCCGCTGCTTCTCTTGAATTAGTTAAGAGATCCAGTTTAGCATAATGAATAATTTGAGGTAATTGTGACATCCGAATTCCTTTACAATTCCTTTTAGTTCTTCTGGGAACATATTATTTGGTAAAGAGATGTCTTTCCTTCCTTCAGAAGAGCTACAATGATCTAATTAGGAATTTTTTCTACTCCTCCTATCTCAATTAGTTCTCTTTTTCTACTACCCTTTTTTCCTGATGGCGATCTCTCCCTGCAGATCGATTCTCATCTTACGGTACATTCATTAGCTTCAGATTGAGCCTGCCTATGGCATCTTCACTTCAACTATAAGGTTATCTATTTTTGATTCATTTAAATGTTTTTCCAATGTTTGAACGCCTTACTAAGTCTATTCCTTCATTAGCTCCTTTCAGGTTTCTTTATCCCTTAATTAAAAGTTTCTTTCTTCCTCTAGCAATGCTTATTTAATTGAACCAGTCCTATGTTATCACTTAAACCTCCTTACTGTGTGTAATATGATTCTAAATTATCCATTTTGGATTTGTGTAGAAATACGTGGTAGATGCTGGTCATTCCGAAAAATGTCTATTTGAAAATCTTTTCTTGTCTCCTTGTTTGTTAATCCAGATTTTTTGGAGTGATTATGAAAGGAGCCCCAATTACCGAGTGTTTGGCCCATCAGGGGTTCACATCGACACGAATTCCTTTTTCGATCATTTTATTTTCAGAACTTCTTTCATTCAATAAGACCCATCTCTCTTCTCCACCAGCAGCTTATTGGTTTTCTAAAAGTTCGACCAGTCTTTGTTTTCTCTTGCTTTTGGCTTCGATCCGCCTATGAATAGTGTTTTAAAATAGGGTCCTCCTTTCCCCACTTGTCTAAAAATGACCTAATCAAGCATTACGCTGTCAAGAAGTCTTCATAAATACTCTTTAAAGGTGATGTTGATGATTAATTTCCTTAAAGGGCACTGTTTCCTTTGCAACCAGAATTGTAGAAATTAATAACATTATTGATTTCGATTTAATTATTAAGCTCTGCATGAAAAATTATATCTAACCTTAGATAAAAATTATCCCATAGTTTACTTAAGGCTTTGAATATCCTCTTTATTACAAATAGAGATCAATTTACAAACCTCTAGTAGTACGACGAGAGCAAATTATAAAATACATCTATAATTATTATTAATTAATCAATCACTTATTAACTCTATTATTTTATGAATAGCAATCAATTTTCAAATTTATTCGTTTAACGAAATTCTTGATTAATTTAGCAATAGCATTTGTTATCAAGTATTTCTAGCCTCCTCAAAAATGAGATCCGTATTTCAACAACTTTTTCAACTTTCACTTCAGTTAATATCTAATTGTTGATTATTAATATTTTCAATTTTAAGAGCCTAACTATTAAACCAGATTAAAGAGAATAAATTTAAAAGATAACACTAAACATGGAAAATAGAATGGTGATTTAAACTTGTACAGAAATTTGCATTTTAAGTGAAATAGCATACTTAAATATCACATAAATTATCATAATTTAGATAAAATTTAAATTTTCAAATTGAAATAGAAAACTCTGTCTATTTAGCAATTTGTTAAGAACAAATTATTAAAACCATTCCCTATTTACACTCTTGAAAATGGCATCATTCACAATTTTGTGAATTCGACTCTTCTTCTCGACTTAAATATCAGAATAGTATCATTATTCCCAAGAAAATAAAGATATTAGATAAATTATCCTAAAATTAAGTTTACAAATTTTTTTTATTCAGAGAAATTTTAATCCTTCATAAAAAAACTTGCATAATTATTTTAATTTTTTAATAGAAATACTAATTATTTATCAAATGAGTAGTGAATAGATTGTTAGAAAATTGTAAAATGAAATAAAGGAATGTCTATAAGAGGTGTATTAAAGTATAGATGTAAGATATTAAATTGTTATGCATTCATTAGTCTTCATTCACCAGAATTGATGCTTTTCTAGATTAACTTGCTTTAGTTCCAAATCCACCTGTTCCTCACAAAATTGTTAATAATACTCCAAAACTTTAATAAATACAATAACCTTTGATTTAAACAATCACTAATTAAATAATTGAAGAAGTTCAACCTATTTTTAATAGAATCATTAATAAACAAATTAAATAGGAACAATTAAACTTAGTTTAACTTGAATAATCAAATAAACAATAAGACAATCATCATCAATCCCATATTAAACCATTTAAGTATCACTTAATCTAGAATCATTCAATTAAATAAAATGAACGGTGTAGAGCAATAGCCTTTAATAAGGATAATTCCATTGTATTAGCTACTTGTCATAAACAAATTAAAGTATTTGAATTTANTAACTATGCAAATCCTACTGATTCTTTTCAGCTAGACCGTCGACTTTCTAATCACTATAGTTAATGATAATAAATTTCTATCTCATTTTGCTGCTTCTTATTGATACTCTTTTCTTTTGGTATCTTCTTACAACTTTGTATATTCAGTAATTTCATTTGCCTAGCAATTCATTCAGTTAGTTCTTATGTGCTCCTTAACTTTTGGAGCTGAATTTGAAATCTGTTCCATAATTATTCTGATCTTCCTTTTTCTATTGAGTTTAGTCCAAATGAATCGTAATCAATTCCTTTCTAAACAAAAGAATATTAATTTTTCTCTTAACTTAGAAATATATCTTCTTCTAACCTTTCCATAAACTCCTTCCTACATATTTAATCTTTCATCCATGTTCCAGAAGTTTATTTCCATGATTTGTACTTGCAATTACAATTAACACTCATTTCCTAAATAGTGCTTAATTTAAGTCAATATGGGAGCTCAAGATGAAATTAAGACCTATTTTCATAACTAGCCCCTTATTATTCATTCGATTAGTTCTATGTTTCAACATTGGTAGAACCTGTTTTAAGTTCTATCACAGAAACACTCCAAGAGCTAATATTACGTATAAAATTATACAAAATTTTAATAAATAGGTTATAATAAAGTAAGATTAAATATATCCTAAAATCTATATAAGGATTATATTAAGATAGCAATTTAACAATGACGTATAAATAAAAGATTTTTGCTTTTCAATCTAAGTAAATTAATTTTCTCCCCATTATAAGATATTCTTAACTTTTGTATTTTTCTAGATTTTCATATTTTGTTATTGCAATGAACTTATTTTAATTCGTGGAATTTTTTTATTTATTAATAAAAATAGATGAATTTGATAAATAATATTAATAATAATAAAAATGAAAAGTGAATAGATTGTTAGAAAATTGTAAAATGAAATAAAGGAATGTCTATAAGAGGTGTATTAAAGTATAGATGTAAGATATTAAATTGTTATGCATTCATTAGTCTTCATTCACCAGAATTGATGCTTTTCTAGATTAACTTCCTTTAGTTCCAAATCCACCTGTTCCTCACAAAATTGTTAATAATACTCCAAAACTTTAATAAATACAATAACCTTTGATTTAAACAATCACTAATTAAATAATTGAAGAAGTTCAACCTATTTTTAATAGAATCATTAATAAACAAATTAAATAGGAACAATTAAACTTAGTTTAACTTGAATAATCAAATAAACAATAAGACAATCATCATCAATCCCATATTAAACCATTTAAGTATCACTTAATCTAGAATCATTCAATTAAATAAAATGAAAGATGTAGAGCAATAGCCTTTAATAAGGATAATTCCATTATATTAGCTACTTGTGATAAACAAATTAAAGTATTTGAATTAAAATAAGAAGTGTTGAGACATACTTAAATTCTAAGTGGACATTAACATAATGTTACTACATTAAATTTCATGAAGAAATCCACTCAATTTATATCTGCAAGTCTTGATAAATAAATTATAATATGGTCTATGAATATTGATAATTAATGGATTACCTCATACAAATTGAGTGGACATTCTCATTCGATTTATTGTTTAGTATTGAACAATAATGAAGATCTTATCATATCAGGAAGTGAAGATAAGACAATTAAGTTTTGGGTGAAGCAGAATGAATGGATATGTTCATAAACTATTACAGATCATAAAAATTATGTATTCTAATTAAGTTTGAATGAGTAATAGAATTAAGTGATATCTTGTGGTTTGGATAAGTTAATATTAATAATAGAATAGTCATCATAAGATTAAAAATGGAATGTGATATAAAGGATATCAGTTGAAGTTTTTGGTTATCGATTATGCTTCATTAATGATAATATATTCACATTTTAACCTTATTGTAAAGAGTTCATGGATGTTTATGAGATGAATAGTAGTAATAAATAG